TTAAAATGGTAATAATAATCTTGGAAGCAAGGGAGCTCTGGTGGCCTAGAGGCAAGAAGTTGTGCTGCAATACCATTTGAGCCCACCAGTGTATGGGCAGTCTCCTCCCATGCGATTAAATGCCTCTGAGAACCTGCCAGAGGGTCAGTTATAGGTTGGTTCTGACTCGATGGTAAACAACAACAACAATTTTGGGATCAAGATGGAAGTAATTAAATTACTTGCTTTGGGAAAATCTAGAACAAAAGACCTTTTTAAATTGAAAAAGCAAAGGTGTCATTGTGGTAACTAAATGCACTTCTCCCCAGTTTATGACATTTTCAATTGCCTCACAAGCATGGACACTTCTTGTCTGTAACTTTGATATACTATGGTGGCTTTCATGTTACTGTGTTGCTGTAATCTATATCATTTGTATTTCAAATACCATTTCTAATTTCTCCCATGGTGAATAGAGTTCGATGGAGTTATCAGTTTAAGACGTATAAGAAGCTGGATTATCCATTTTTGAAATAATGGGCCCATAAAGAGTTTATTAATAGACAAAGAAAGTCATTGACAAAATGTCAGAAGATGAGGCTCTCACATAAGTCACTCAAAAACTAGGGAAGATTTACCTCCTCAAAGTATAATTTTCCTTAATGATGTAAAGACATTAAAGCTTTTAGTGGGGGAAAAAAGGATATTTACTTGCTGATGTAATACAACACAAAATGAGAAGAAACAGCTGCAAACATCCACTAATAATAAGAATATTGACTAATATGTGGAATTGTACAAGTCTAGTAGAGTTTGTCGAAATGGAATGAAATGCATACAGCTCTATTCTAGACATTAACATGTCGAATTGGACTGGTACCATAATTTTAAATTGAAGACTATGTACCTAAAGATAAAGACTGAGGATTTCTACCAGTTTTTGCAATCTGGAATGTATCAAACACTCAATCAAGATGCATTGATAATGATAAGTGATTGTCATGAAAAAGCAAACAAAGGATTAGTAGACAGATAACATGGCTTTGGTGATAAAAATGTCATAAAAATGAGATAAAAAGTGTTACGTGCCATGACCAAAGATATACATACACATTGAAAATGGTTGTTGTAACTGTTAGAGACCTCTCCAAATTTGTGAGGAGCAATAATATCAATTTAAAGACTAAGGTGTACCTGATTCAAGTCATGGTCTTCTCAAGCACTTGCTATACATCAGAGAGCTAGATAATGAATAAGGTTGAGGGAAGACGAAATAATGCTTTTGAATTGTGGTGCTGGAGAAGTGTTCTGAATATTCCATGAATTTCCAAAAGAAGAAACAGACATGTCTTGGGGAAAGTGCAGCTAATGTGTTGGTGGAAGAGATGGTGAAGTTCTATCTTTTATACTTTGGACATGTAGCTAAGTGAGGTTATTCCATGGAAAAATAAATCACACTTGGAAAGTTAAGTATCTATAATGGAAAAAATCTGCAATTTATAACTTCTCAATTTGCTCATGAATTCTAATGCTAATTTTTTTAAAAAGATAATGCAAAATAAATTAATAAAATAATTTAAAAAGATCTTTGGGCTATGGAACAAAATTAGTCAGCTATAGTGTGGAGATTATTTTCTGAAATGCCCGTGCATATAATCCATATAGACCTTACAGAACAGAATAAAATTCAAAAAGGGAAGGGGTAAGATAAATGTACCTCCCCATGTTCGAGCAACACAGAACAGGTACCCAGATGTTGTCTGATTGCGGATTGTGCAAGGAGCAGACGTACACACAGTGGATGACTGGACACACTTGCACAGCACTTGTAAGGAGAGTAAGACTGAAGCAGCTTCTTTCCTAGTTCAATCTTGGTTATCTAATGTTTTAACAGAGTTACCACAAGTGGATGGCTCTAATGAATGGACTTTTGCTCTCTTACAGTTTAGGAAGCAAAATGTCTGAATTGAGAGTCAACAGGAGGACAGTTCTGCAGGAAGACTGTTTTTCTTTGTGTCTTTTGGTTCTAGGAGTTTCCCAGTCCAGAAAACTGGGTCGAGAGGATATACTCTACTCCTAGCTCTTCTGTCTATGAGGTACTGAAGACTTCTCACTTTTCTTTCTTTTTATGTTTTGTGAGATAAAAAGTGTTACATGCCATGCCCAAAGGAAACTCTTTTTTACATTGGATCAGGGCTGTGATGGGAATGTTTAATTTTTAATTATATTTTCTTTTCCATTCAAAACAATAAGGAGATTGACTTCCTAACCTCTATTTAGTGGTTGATAGTGTTATGCAAAAACTAACAATGAGAGTAGTATGAAAGAATTCTCAGGGAAAAAAATGAATATAGATTTGGATTTTTTTAGGATGCATAGTAATGATAGATTTATTAGCAAGTTACATCTCCAAAGGGATGGACTTTTATCCTTGAAAGGAGATAAGCAAAAAAAGGCAGAACATAGATATTTAAGTATTAAAAATAAATTTGTAAACCTTAACAACCAAACAGTAGAACATATTATATCACATATATTTTTTAAGTGAGAAATTTGGTTCATGCTTTTACAAAATAAAAAATAATTTTTTTAAGTTATGAAAATAAATTATAGCACATGAATCAGAATAAACACAAATGTAGCTGACCAAATCAAGCAGTCACATAAACAAAAGATGGCAAAGCAAACCAATAGCAATATTATCACACATACAACAGTGAAAGGCTTTACTAATCTGGAAGATAAGATATTATAAAAACCTATTGCAGGCAAAGTTCTAGATGTTAAATACTAACCACATTCTCTGTGATGTGAAGAACTCAAGATACAGATTTTTATAATACTCACTCAATTCCATGCTAAAGTAAATGAGTTAAGAAAATGGGAAAAAAGATTAAAAACAAGGGATTCAAAATACATTAATTTAGATATCTAATTATATTGCTATTGCAAATACAAAATAATTTATAAATAAGTTAAAACATTTTAAAGACATCTTGGTAGAATTATCATAATTAAAATAGATGTAAAATATACACTTGTAAGCAAATAGGCAAGTTCAAATAACATGAAAAATATAAAATATCTTGCAATTAGTTTTTACAAAGGCATGTAAGACTATCACTACAAAATTAAAATTAACCCAAATAAACATAAAAAGAAAACATACTTTTGATTTGGAAAAATTTGATTATATAAAATTAATTCTAAAAACAATTAAGTTTCTTTGGTTTTTTTTTATAAGATTCTAGGTTTTTCTTTAACCAAAATCTTAGTTTTAAGAGTTTGAGTGTTAAAATTTTGCATTTAACAGTATTCCATGTTTTCTTCTATTTTCCTGAATATTAATGTACAATGAAATCATATTGTGATATATTTTCATCTGAAACAAAACTATTTACCTAATTACAAATTTGTGTGATCTGGAGAGTTGTTAACAATTTTAATGCTTAGAATTTGCTTCTCATGGACTGTGAGCTTATTTAGTATTTCCATGTATTATTTTCCTATTGATATTTTAACATGTTATTACCAAATGGCTTAAATTATTGCACATTTGTTCTCATACCAATGTGTGTGTGAAAATTCTAAAATAAAGTTTTAGCAGGAGTACATTCCTTTTGCACCCTCCAGGGAATCATTTATTTCGTTTTCTTTTCAGCTGCTGTATTCCTTGATCTCTGGGCCTTTATTTTATTTTTCCAAACTCTTGATTTCAATGACTTAACTATTGCTACTCTGATCGTCCTTTTTGTCTCTCAAATAGACTTTCGTGATTATATCAGATTCATTCATATTATCCAAAATAACATCGTTAGTTCATGACTCTTAATTTCATACAAACATACATCTGCAAAATCCTTTTTGCCATAAATTATGAGGATTAACATATCCAGGAGATTATTATGTAGTTTGCAACATCTAGGGAGTAGAAATAAGAAGAAATTTCTTTTTCATTGGTTTTAATTTTAATTCTTTAACTCACAAGTAATTATCACGGAAAATGAATAACCATAGATGTATGTTATTGTTGTTATGTACTGTTGGGTCTCCTGTGACTCATAGAGACTCTATGTACAACATAGATTAAAACAGCTCTGAAGCCCGCCCTGTCCTGAGCCAGTCTCACTAATTCCTACATACCAATCCCATTGCCCCAGTTACTGTATCAATCCATCCCCTTGAGATCTTCCTCTCCTGTGCATCTTCCATCTTTCTGTACATGATATGTTGCTTTAAGGATCGGTCTATTCTGGCCATATGCCCAAAGTATGTGAGATGGAGCTTTAAAATCCTAGCCTCCAAAGAGAAACTTGGTTTCACCCTCTCCAAGAGACACACTTATTTGTTTTTTTGGTGGTCCATAATATGTTCAAGATTCTTCTCCAGTACCAAACTCAAGGCCATCAATTCTTTTCTTTCATAATTAGACATTGTCCAGCTCTCTGACGCATAGCAAGTAATTGTGAAGACCATGTCATAGATCAGGTGCACCTGAGTCTCTAAACTGACATCATTTCTTCTAAGTACTCTGGAAAGGTCTCTGACAGCAGATTTATCTAATGCAACTAGTCTTTTGATTTCCTGACTGCTGATTCCAAGTGTATAGATTATGGAACCAAGCAAGCTGTAATTGTTAACAACTTTGAGCACTGGTAGCCTAGTGACAAGAATCTACATTGCAATTCTAAAGGCATGTAGTTTCAAATCTACCAGCTGCTCCATGAGAGACAGTCTCCTTTAGTTCAATTAACTGCCTCTGAAAACCCACCTGAGGGTCAGCTTGAGTCGGCTTGACTCTATGGCACACAACAACAACAGCAACAACTTGGATGTATACAGAATGCTTAAATAATTTTCTGAACAAATTGAATTCCATAATTTAAAGGAAAGTATTATAATTATTAAAACAATGCATAAAGTACATTTTTAAAACACTAAGTAGATTTTGTATGTGTCTTTATATACACAAACACACACATCTGTCTTGTTACCTATATACAGGCATGTTATACACAAAATTACGCTGGATGAGAAAGCAGTTTGGCATTGAATATCTTCCTGAGTGCCTCCTTCACATCATTATTTCTAAGGCTGTAGATAAGAGGGTTTAACATTGGGATCACAACTGTGTAAAGCACAGTGGCCACTTTCACAAGAAGCAGAGAGTTTTTAGAGCTGGGCATGCAGTAGAGAAGGAGGATGATTCCGTGGAAGACGGTGATGGCAGTGAGATGGGAGGCACAGGTGGAGAATGCTTTACGGAGCCCACCAGTGGAGGGCATCTTGATGATAGCGACCACAATAAACACATAGGAGGCGAGGATAATCAGAAGACTACTAGCCTCATTGAATGTAGAAATGACAAAACTCAGCATCAGGTTGGTACGAGTGTCAGAGCAGGAGGCAGCAATGACGGCAGAATACTCACAACCAAAGTGATTTATGGTGTTAGATCCACAGAAAGATAGAGCCATAAGGAAACAGGTCTGTACAAAGGAACAGACTATTCCCCACACGTAGCATCCAGCTACTAGGAGGGCACAGAGCTTCCGAGGCATAGCAACTGTATAGAGCAGAGGGTTACACACAGCCACAAATCGGTCATAGGCCATCGCTGCTAACATGAACATTTCTGTGATCACAAATGTGCAGCCAAAGAAGAATTGCATCATGCAACCCATGAATGAGATAGTCCCTACTTCCACAACCAAGACCTCTAACAATTTGGGTGTAAGTACAGAGGAGTAACAAAAATCAAGGAAGGAGAGATGGCTGAGGAAAAAGTACATGGGAGTGTGGAGTTTAGGACTGATTCTGATAATCATGATCATACCTAGATTTCCCACAACGGAGACCATGTAGATTGTCAAAAAGAGCAGAAAGAAAGGCACCTGGAGGTCTGGGTATTCGGAGAAGCCCAAGAGGACAAAGGTGATGGTAGTGCTTTGATTTCCCTCCTGCAACATCATAGTTCCTGCTGGAAGAAAACAGAGTTCATACTATGCAGCTGTTAAAATAGGGATATTGAGTATAAGTAGAATATAATACAAACTCACTGTTGTCAAGTCAGTTCTAATAGGGGTTACAAGGTTGTGAATCTCGTGAGAGGAGACTCTTTTCTGTGGAGCTGCTGGGGGATTCTAAGCACCTATGGTTTTGGAAAAACTATCATCTACACCAATAGATCTCCCTAAGTTGTGTAAGGTTGATTGAAAATGAAGAAATGACCACATTGTCATACTTGTTTTGGGTTGGTTTTTGCTTGCTATTTCCTCCTTCCTTCCTTCCTTCCTTCCTTCCTTCCTTCCTTCCTTCCTTCCTTCCTTTCTTCCTTCCTTCCTTCATCTTTCATAGAGAGGATCTCTATGTCATGCCTGTGTTGAGTCTTTGCACATCCATTTATCATGTATTGTTGTTGTTATTATATACCACTGAGTCACAACTGACCCTTCAGTGAGTTTTCATAGGCAGTAAATTGTGCAGGCGGAGAACGATCACTTTTCTCCCACTGAGCAGGTGTGGATTGAACCATGTGCATTTGCATTGGCAGCCCACGTTCTTACCGCTAAGCCACCATAGCTATCTATTTACCATTTAAAGATGGAATCAGGATTGGTGGGAGATTCATCAACAATCTGTGTTATGCAGATGAAACAACCCTGCTTGCTGAAACTGAGGAGGACCTGAAGCGCCTGCTGCAGAAGATCAAGGATTGTAGCATTCAATATGGATTGAGGCTCAATATCAAGAAGACAAAGATTCTCACCACTGGGCCAATTGGCAGCATCAGGATGGGTGGTGAAAGGTTGAGATTATTAACAGCTTTAGTTTGTTTGGCTCCACAGTCAACACTCTTGGCACCAGCAGGCAGGAAATTAAAAGACGTAGCACGATGGCAAAGTCTGCTATTAGAGACCTCTTCAAAGTACCGGAAAGCAATGATGTCACTCTAGAAACTAAGGTGTGCCTGATACAGGCCATGCTCTTTGCAATCACTTGCTATGAGTCAGAGCTGGACAATTATTAAGGAGGATAGAAGGAGGAGTAATGCCTTTGAGCTGTGGTGTTGGAGAACGGTATTGAATGTACCATGGACTGTTAATAAAATCAACAGGTTCACCCTGAAGAGAGTTAAACCAGACTGCTCCTTGGAGTCTGAAGCTTCGCCTGACATACTTTGAACATGTTACAAGGTGGAATCAGTCCTTGGAGAGGGATGTCATGCTTGAGAGAATAGAGGAACAGAGCAGTAGAGGAAGACCTTTGAGGAGATGGCTTTATTCAGTGAGTAGGGTAATAGGGATAGGTGTATCAGAGAAAATACACACAATAGCAACAACATCATCTCCTAGATGACTAGCTATGAGTCTACTTGATTGGAAAGAGATGCATAAGCATAGTTTCCATGTAAAGTTAAATATTTGTTAAAAATTCTCCAAGAATTATTTGAGTATATTTTCACAATTTTGGAAGGTATAATTTAGATGTGATCATACACAAAGTAACTTATTGTATCGTTTTGGTAGGGTCATTATGAGTTGCAGGTGACTTGACGGCACATAACAACAACAAATAATTCCCTTTACCTTTAAGAATCTTAGTTTCCTTGCCCATTAAAATATCTGGGCTTAATTTTACAAATGTATTTCCAAAATATGCTCCTTGAAGGCAAGAATTCTAAAGCTTCATCTGACATACTTTAGACATGTTGCAAGGTGGGATCAGTCCTTAGAGAGGAACGTCATGCTTGGGAGGGTGGAGGGACAGTGCAAGAGAGGAAGACCCTTGATGAAATAGATTGATTCAGTGGGGTAATGGGGGTAGGTGTTCAGGAGACAATAAGATTGGCACAGGATAGAGCAGTGTTTAAGTATGCTGTGAGTCACAAGTGACTCGATGGCACATAACAACAACCACAGCATACATAAACAAAGCACTTCCATTTTGTCCAACATAGTAACAATAAAACAATTAGCCAACTCATTGCTGTCTAGTCAGAATCTATTGATAGCTCACCTTTCATTTGGTTTCAGAACCTTTACATTGGGTAAGAGTAGATTGTCTTTCTCTCACAGCATACAGTGAAGTTGAACCATTTCTCTTTGAGTTGGAAAGACAATCTCTATCCACTAAGCCCAGTGTTGTTGTTATATGCCATCGGATTGCCTGGGACTCATAACAACCCTGTGTACAGTAGCTCTGAACTCTGCCCTATCCTGACCCAGTCTCACTGACTTTGACACACTTACCTTATTATTCCAGTTATTGTGTCAATTCACTTCCTCCGAGGTCTTCCTCTCCTGTGCTGTCCCTCTACCCTTCCAAGCATAATGTCCTTCTCCAAGGACTGGTCAAGTCTTCTCCTGTCATCCTTAGACATTGTCCAGATCTCTGATGCATGTGAAGACCATGGCCTAGATCAGGTGCACCTTAGTATCTAGAGTAATATTCTTTAGCACTCTGGAGAAGTCTCCTGATAGCCAACATCCGAAGTGTGATTTGTCTTTTGATTTTCTGACTGCTGGTGACAGGAGTGTTGATTGTGCAGCCAAGCAGGATGAAACTGCTAACAATCTCAATCTTTTTCCATCTATTATGGTGCTGCAAGTTGGACCAGTGGTGGGAATGAATCTTGGTCTTCTTGATGCTAAACTTCAATTCATACTGAAGATTACGGTGCTTGACTCTCTGCAGCAAATCTTCAGGTCCTCCTCAATTTTGGCAAGCAAGGTTGTGCACATATTTCAAGAAATGACTGTTAAGTATTCTGGTGGCCTAGTGGTAAGAAGCTGCACTGTAATCTGAAAGGTACATGGTTCAAATCCGCCAGCTGCTCCATGGAAGAAAAATAGGCAATCTCCTCCTGTGTGATTAACTGCTCCTGAAAACTCACTGAAGGGTCAACTATGGGTGGATTACTGCTCAAAGATGAACAGCAACAGCAATTCTGGTGACCTAGTGGTAAGAAGCTGCACTGTAATCTCAAAAGCACATGGTTCAAATCCATCAGCTGCTCCACAGAAGAAAGATGGGCAATCCTCTGTCCTGCTGCCTCTGAAAACCCACTGGAAGGTCAGCTATAGCCCCGACCTACTTGATGGTCATTATAACAGCAACTAATACTATTACTAATTTAAATTCTCCTAAAAGACCCCCGACGGAATGGATTGACAGGGTAACGAAAAAATGGGCTATGCTTGAAGGAGATTGTGAAGACTGCAGAGGCTAGGGTAAGGCTCTCATTGGCTCTTCATAGAGTTATTATGCATTGTTGTCAACTCAAGGGTACAAAGCAACAAAAACATCAAAAGTTTGAAAGTCTATTCCCTGGAAAAGAGGAATAAGAAGAAATATAGATCTTAACAGCAAATAAAATGAAATGACTCAACAGATTCTAACAGTGGGAAGGGTCATAGTGTGTCTCCATACTGTAATTTCTGAATTTTAAGATTAAAAAAAAAGAAAATGGTAAAGCCAAGTTTTTTTCAGAGAAAAGTGCTTCTGAGCAGTCATTCCCAATTCTGTATTCCTATTTTAAAGTGTCATGTTTTCTAAGAACACCTGTAGTCAAAATTTTATGATATGCTTCACTTAGACAGATTAGCCTTCCAATTGTCTTGTCTAGTCCAATCAAATAGGTCTGCCTTCTCATTAGTGTCCTATGATCTATCACTTAGGATACCCTAGTGGTGTACTCTGTAGAGAGCTGTGTGGCTCACCTAGCCTTTGGGAAGTTCAAATCAATCAATGCCTCCACAGGAGAAAATGGCCACTCTCTGTATGTGTGATTTATATACTATTTAAGCACTTTATTACATAGGCACTATTGTTGTTGTGTGCCATCGAGTTCCCTGCAACTCATAGAGACATGTATGTACAACCTATATACAACAGCCATAAACTTGGTCTACCCTGTGCCAATCTCTTCATCTCTGACATACCTACTCCCATTACCCCAGTCACTGAGTCAATCCATATGACTAATCCATAAATTAGTCATACAAGTAACACAGTTAGAAAGCTCCTTAGAAGAAAGTATGGTGAGACTTCATCTTGCTTAGTATGAACACATTATCTGGAAAAGCAACACACTTGGTAAAGTGAAGAAAGCCTTCCATGAGACACACCGACTTAGCAGCCATGATAATGGATTTTAGTCTATCAAACGTCTTAGCCGCCATAACAATGGATTATAGTCTATCAAACAATGTGACAACAATGCAGGACTGGGTAACCTTTGGTTCCATTTTACAAAGGTCACCAAGACTCAAAGCTAACGCAATGGAAAACACCAGCAACAGCAAAATTTCACTACATATACTGTTAACTCTTTTTCAGCTACTCCTGTTTCACTTATGTAAACATTTTCATTGCTTCCTATAAAAAAGCACATTCATTTATAACTCAATGTCTTTATCAGAGTCCCAGTTTTAACCCGAATGGACTCTTGTCCCAATGAATTAAAATATTAACTTTTAAGTAAAACTCCAGGCCACACTCCTGCATGAAAATCTGTGTTGATTAATACAGACCTCAGTGTTATTCTACTTTTCTGATTGAATCCCTCCAATGCTCTTTGACAATTAAAATTAAAATTGATTATTCAAGATATGCTATAATATATTTAATATATATTTATTATTGTGGTATGCATTACTTTAGTTTTTTCTCCCATAAAAAACAGATAAAGAATTCTTAACAAGTTATTACCATTCATTCACATGAACAAACTTAATTAAATATATATAACATTCAGGTGCCTAAAAGGGAATAAAAAATTTAATAGCATATTTCTTAAAAATATAGTAAATGCAGCTCAATACCTTGTATTCGTATTATCCAATGAATTGGGTAAAACAAGATACTGACCCAAATATTACTGATTTTAGAACTTCTGACGGGATGTGACTTAAATAAACCACTCACCAGTAATCAACAACTCTTTATAGACATTGGCTGAACTTCTTCGATTTGACT